ATAATGTGTGCTTTGGTGGAAGCCATCTAGGATCAATCTTATATAGAACCTTAGGGGAAGATTCTAACTATATGTGGAGCTTTAGTGAGGATGTCAAGACTTGGGGTGAGATTTTTTTTATACTTAAATAATCAAGGTTCGTAATTTCATACTGTACCGGAATATCGAGTTTAGCTCGATACAGTGCGGTATGAGTATATTGAGCGGTATGCTCTGGCGTATCGCTCGGTATATATATATATATATATATATATATATATATATAATAATAATAATAATAATAATAATAATAATAAGTTAAAAAATAAAAAAGGGCGATGTCGCTTTGTTTCTTCTCCCCGTGTGGGGAGAAGAAACCTCGCTTTCTTCTCCCTGTCGAGGCTTCTTCTCCTGGTGCGGATGAGGAGAAGTCATCGACGACGTCGAGGTCTCGTCGCCTCAGACGAGGAGGAGGCGACATCTCATTTGCGGTGTCTGGTGAGGGAGGGCGGCGATGGATTAGGATCATCGAGGAGAACGGCGTCGGATCTCTAGGTTCTTTCTTTTCTTCTCCCTCTTCTTCCTTCTCCCTCGAGTAATACCGCCCTGTAGCGGGCGGTGACGGTCGAAATCAACCATCAACAGCCCCAATCAATGGTACCGCTTGGTAGTGAGCGGTCCATGTACCGGTCTGCTGGTGGATTGGTACGTATCGTCCGGTATAGACGGTATCATTGGAAATTAAAAACCCAGCAAATAATCATACATTTATAGAATTGGAAACAAAAAGACATTTATGTAAGTCTTGATGGCTTACCATTAGTAATGTAGTTTAAGCATTTCAAGCCATGTGATCAGATCCAATCCAGACAAGCTTTTGGGCTAATAAACTGCTTGGATTGCTACATGGGCCCCTTGATGCCAGTGCTCAGTCTGTTTGCATTTATGGACGACAAAAGAACAAGAATTGATGGCCTTATTATCTGCTGCATATGCTGGACATGTTATTTCAACATGAGCTGATGTGATGATGCAACTTAACAAGCCATCTACAGTTGATGTATTTGAGGGTTTTCAGTGTTAGGAATTATGGGGCTGCTTGAAAGGTTTTTATGGTTTAATCAGAACTAAATTATATCAATATTTTGGCTTTTTTTACGCCTTCCATATATATCGTGATACTAGAAAGATTGCTATGTGTTGATATATGGTAAACTCCACATTGTCTCCTATCATAATTTTTCAGGATGGAGTGATGGTATGTTCAAAATGTTCTAAAAATAATAGTCAGGCTGATGGTAGAACAACAGAGGACTCAAATCATCAGGTGGATGATGATGCTAAGGCAGAAGGTAGTGCTAACAATGTAATTAGTGCATGGACAGATGCAGAGACACTACTCCTTCTAGAAGCTGTCCTAAAGCATGGAGATGACTGGGCTCTTATTGCTCAGCATGTACGAACCAAGAGTAAGCTTGATTGTATTGCAAGGCTTATACAACTGCCTTTTGGTGAGCATATTCTGGGCTCAATTAATGGTACATGTGCTAATAGTAACTTGATAACTCAAGCGACTGATGTCAAAAAGCAATCCTTAATAAATGAGCCACCACAAGAGCTTATCAAAACAGATTTGCACATCCAAACTGATGAGAAAGATCTTGTGGAAGAACCTATGGCAGAACGTCCTCTAAAGAGAAGATGCTTGCCGTCCTTTGTACATGTTGCAGATTCACTAATAAAGCAGGTATAAGTTGGCTTTACATTGATTTTATCGGTGTAATTTGCAAAACCCTTGATGGGAACTTTATTCATGTGCATATTACAGAACAACTAATATCTTCTTTGGTAGGTAGCTGGCTTTTCTACTGTTGCTGGCGCACAGATTGCTACTGCAGCAGCAGATGCAGCTATTGTGGCACTGTGCAGCGAAAATATATCTGCAAGGAAGCACTTTTCGATCAATAAGTATGGGGAAAATGATTTACTTTATACTAACAATGATCATAACAGGTTGGTTTTCCCCCTTTTTTGTATAGCTATATCTAAAAGAGAGAAAAATTGCCCATTCTCTGCATATTATGTTATAGTCATTTCAGTGGATTGAAGATTGAAGATCAGGATATGGAGTTGCATAAACAGACAGGTATGCTATCTATATTATTGTCCTGGTGTCAAATCTGTACTTATCGGCTAGTTCACTAGTTAGATGCTTTATGAAATCATAGTTCTGCACTGATCTTTGTATTCCTTTTGCTGTTTTAAACTGCTGACCTTTATTCTGGGATGAAGTGTCTTGCACTATATGCTTGATATGAAGATATAAATTAATGAACAAGCCAATGGAATATTGTGTTTGAGAAAGTAGCTTTATTTATATAATCCCAGGAGCAATTTATTTCTATCGGTGATATAGATTAGTATAATGGCCACATTCTACATAATGTAGATATATTACTACAATGCAGAAGGGAATGCAGCTCAGTTGCTCTGTAATGATTTCTTCGGATTGTTTTCACTGTATCTAGAGCTATATCGTAATCCATCGATCTCCTTCTGATATATCAGTTGTCTCAGAGAAGAGCTTAAGTGCTACAGCATTTCAAGTAAGGGCTGCCATTGCAACTGCACTGGGGGCAGTAGCTGCTCGTGCCAAGCTACTAGCTGATCAAGAAGAGAGGGAAATAGAACTTCTGATGGCATCCATTATTGAAGTGCAGGTCTTCTCCTCTACCTTATTTTAAATTTGAAATAAAAGAACTTGTTACTGTGGAGCATAGGTCTTCTTTCTTTTTTATTCTTTTCTCCTGGAGTGTGAATATTTTGTGAATTTGCTTAGGTTCGGTAATTCATGTTAATGTTAATGTATATGTATTTTTTATTTTATCTCAATGTCATGATAGATTTTGATGTGATAAAATTTACTATTTATTTGTTCTTTGATTGCTTTTTTTAATTTATTAATTTAGTATTCTTTATAGTATACATAAACAGTTCTTATGTGTATTGATTGTTGTTTGACAGCTGAGAAAGATACAATGCAAGATCAAACATTTTGAAGAGTTGGAGTCCATGATGGAGCATGAGTACACACTATTGCAAAAGGTGAAGGAATCTACTCTCGAGGAGTGGGTGACGGTGCTCCAGCAGGCGTTTCAGGCAGGGATCCCAAGATGGAGCGATGATGAATTGCCCAAACCTTTCACCACCATGTAATATCATCGTCTCATGCCTTACACTCGATAGGTAATTTATATGTTGTGGATAAACCAGTGATGCTAGTGTGATGAAAGTGTTCCTCTTCTAGCTTTTCTGTGTGGCAGGATATGTTGAATTCATTTTATTTGTTTTCGAAAGAAAAATGCACTCAGTGTTACTGATCGAAAAGTTGCAAACAAAAGTTGGACATGCAACGGGTGTCGCCTCGACAAAAAAAAAAAGCCTCGTGTGAGGTATACAAACAACGCTTCTGTTATGGTAGTCTAACAAGTCACGAAGCCCATTTCATCCTAAAAACAGACATATCTTCTTCTCGTTGGCTGATGAACTCCCATAATGTAGGAGGAATTCAGGATTTGTGATAGATAGATTTTGTAAGGATGTCTTGGTCTCAAAATTTCTCCAAATGATTTGCTTCTTAAGCAATAGACTTGACCAATATTGCATTATTTTTTTAATTATAATTTTGACAGAAAGGGTAAGATTTCAATATATATATATATATATATATATATATATATATATATATATATATATATATATATATATATATATATATATATAT